CCTCTATACAATTCTCCAAAGGGTGCCAACAGCATTCTTACTACTTACTGATATTTGAGAGAATTTGAAATGGTCTGCAAAGTGCTTCACTTCATTGATTGTACTCTTGAAGAACAATTTTAAATACCACTAACTGCTTTGCCTCTAAACATGATTGAATGGGAGATATATAAATATTGCCTAAATAATGCCAATCAGAGCTATGAAACATTCATTGGCTTAGAAGTCCATATCTGGGTTTTTCTAACTAGGGCCAATCCACACTTATTTATTCCTGTTTCCATATCAAGCTCCATACAGCTCTTTTTAGACATTCATGTTTTATGGTAGTTGGGATTGCATGAGGGGAAAAAAGGAAGAATGGATGGAGTTGGCTATTCATTGTATCTTTTTCATCCAGCCCCAAATTCCTCTATATATTATTAGGGAAAGATCTCCTATATAAGGGTAGAATCTTGCTCTGCAGAGCTATTGGCCTTCCGAAAAGCAGTGAAGACCTGGCTTTTCCAGCAGGCCTGGGGCCGTTGATCTTGCTGTTGCGATCTTGTGAGATCCGGCCATGAATGGTGTGAATGCGTTTCAATGTTTTAATGTTTAAATGTTTTTATAATGGTTTTTTAAATGCATTGCAAGCCACCCAGAGTCTTCAGAGAAAGGCGGCATATAAATTGAACTAATATTTTATTATTAAATTTTATTTTATTTTATTAAATTTCTATACCGCCCTTCTCCCAAAGGACTCAGGGCGGTGAACAGCCAAAAGATAAAACACAGAGATACAAAATTTAAAATAGATTAAAACAGATTAAACAATTTGGCTAAATTTTAAAAATATCCCATAATTAAACAAATTAAAATTAGTGTTTAAAATTTAAATTTAAAATTTTTTAAAGGGAGAAGATTTAGGCCAGGCCAGCTTGATGAAATAAAAACGTTTTAAGCGCGCGATGGAAGGTGCGCAGATCCGGGATCCTCCGTATCTCCGGGGGGAGCTCGTTCCAGATCGTAGGTGCCCCCACAGAGAAGGCTCTCCCCCTAGGGGCCACCAGTCGACATTGTTTGGCCGACGGCACCCGGAGGAGCCCCTCTCTATGGGAGCGTACTGGCCAGTGGGAGGCTATTGGTGGTAGCAGGCGGTCCCGTAGATAACCAGGTCCTAAGCCAATAAATAAATAAATAAATAAATAATCAATTAATCTTATTAATTTCCAACTTTCTTCTGACAATGTAAGTATACCCATAATTTCAAAGACAGAGGGAATGGACGCCATCCCTTTTGATTTGTATTTATACCTTCCTCTGTTTTAGGAGTACAAGATGGTTTGTATCACACAGATGCAGTACCTGTTTTAGGTTCATACATCTCTGAAAAGCTTTGGATACGAACCCCAGACTGCATGGGATGCAAGAAATTGTAATTTTTAATGAGACAAAATAGTAAATTATTGTGGAGAAAAAGCATATTACTTGTATATAATTTTTAAAAAAGCTTTATCTTGCTTGGGGTGAGAGATCTTATCTTGCAAGGGCTAAGAAGACCTTGGACCATGCTTTAAGAAACACTGTCCTAAATGCACTCTTTCAGTTATCTTGAAAATTAATTGAACTTAGATCAATTAGAAATTTTGTCTTATCCTATCCACTTCTCTGTGGTGTCCAAAGCAACTGTGAAAGATCAAATGTGCAGCCGCCAGTGTAATAAAAGTTGTACAACCTTGGTATACATAGTTTTCTCCTCACTCACATTATCTTCGCAACAACCCTTTGAGATAGATTAATAAGAGTAGCATAGAGACTGTTTGAACATTGCTTGGTGAGCTTCACTGCTGAGTTTTGATTGGATCTGGATTTTCTCAGACTTGCTGATTTAGTGATGGATTTATCATACATATAGACAGTTTCAACCTACTTGGCTCTTGTTCAGCCCTAACTCTTCATTCTTCCTATTATTTGAAATGTATGAGACTCATTTTGGCTCATGTGGCTCATTTTAAATAGAAAAAGAGAACAAATGTATACAGATAGTTGTCATTTACTGCTCACAATGGAGACCAGCAACTCCATTACTAAGCAGCATGGTTGTTAAGTGAAATATCTTTTAACTACAGTGACTTATGATATCAGGTCTGGTGGCAATCATTAATCCAATCACTGTGGGTCAATAAGCACAACGTCAATGACCACACATTGTGACCTCCTGACAGCTTTCCCATTGATTTCATTCATTTGGAAGCTGTCTGTGAAGATCGCAAATGATTTTCATATGACAGTGAGATGCTGTGACAATCATAAATGTGCCAAGTATCTGAATTGTGATCCCGTGACTGAGAGGATGGCCACAAAGAGGTGGGTTTCACCAGGTTCTGACCAGTTCTGGAGAACCGGTAGTGGAAATTTTGAATAGTTTGGAGAACCGGTAGTAAAAATGCTGACTGGTCCCGCCCCCATCTATTCTCTGTCTCCCAAGTCCCAGCTAATCAGGAGGAAATGGGGATTTTGCAGTAACCTTCTCCTGGAGTGGGCTGGGAATGAAGATTTTACAGTATCCTTTCCTTGCCACGCCCACCAAGCCACATCCACCAAGCAATGCCACACCCACCAAGCCATGCCCACAGAACCGGTAGTAAAAATTTTTGAAACCCACCACTAGGCCACAACTTTGAGGATCAGTAATAAGTTTCCTTTTTCAATGGCATCGTAACTTCAAATGGTTGCTGAATAAGTCAGAGGTGGGTTTGAGCAGGTTCTGACCAGTTCTGGAGAACCGGTAGCAGAAATTTTGAGTAGTTCGGAGAACCGGTAAATACCACCTCTGACTGGCCCCGCCCCCATCTATTCTCTGTCTCCCAAGTCCCAGCTGATTGGGAGGGAATGGAGATTTTACAGTATCCTTCCCCTGGAGAGGGAAGGGAATGGAAATTTTACAGTATCCTTCCCCTGCCATGCCCACCAAGCCATGCCATGCCCACCAAGCCACACCCACAGAACCAGTAGTAAAAAAAATTGAAACCCCACCACTGGAATAAGTGCTTGGTAAGTGAGGATTAACTGTACGGCAATAAATGCTGCAATTTGTATCTGTATAATATGCATCCCCTTTCAATGATAAATCGATGTGCCACACTAAAATGTCACATGTTCTTTACATGAGTTCTGTAGCAGAACTTTTACAGAGTCTGGCTGAGATTTTATTCACTGGTGTGTAGTGACATACAGGTCAGATGAGGAGGCATCATGAGTGGTTTGTAATTACTGGATGGGTAGGATATGACTAATCCAGAAAAGTGGAAAATAAAGAAGCAGGCAGAAGTGATTAAAAAAGAAAGTTGGCAGTGGAGAGAATATCTGCATGACTATTTTTGAGAGGAAAATTTCCATCATTTTGAAGAGATTCTTTTCAAGCTCCCGAATATACCACTAAGGGAATATACCACTAAGGGGAAGTCCTGCTTTTTGAAGATTTGGTGGGGATTTTTTCTTTCTGGCAAGAAGCAAGAAAATCCTCTGCTCCAAACATAAAAAGAGGAACTTCTGTAAAACTGTCTCTGCAGTGTTTCCTCAGCAGCAGGAACCGAACTGATGATTACTTGGATTTACCTTCCTAAATACCATATGGTATAAGAGGGACAAACATAGGGGTGGCAATGGGGATGCTGATCTCAGATTGGCACAGCCTCCAAGTGTCAAAAGGGCCACAGTGCAATACAGTTCAACCTAACTGTAGCTACAACTCAGAGTGAACTGGAATCTCATCCCATGGCGACCTCATCTATACCTTCTTGCTTTCAGTTCCATGACTGATTACCATCCAAGAAAAGCACTTTATTTGTTTGTTTGTTTATTTGTTTATTTATTTATTTAGTCAAGCACGTACTAGATAACATAAATAGATATAAACATGATTATTAATACATGAAATGGTTATGAATAAAATGGGGACATTAGGACAGGGATGGTAGATATGTTGGTACACTTATGCATGTCCCTTAGAGACCTCTCAGGAATGGGGTGAGGTCGACACTAGACAGTCTAAGGCAGGGGTGGGCAACTGTGGCCCTTTTACAGCCTGTGGACTTCAACTCCCAGAATTCCTGATACAGCCAAGCTGGCTCAGGAATTCTGGGAGTTGAAGTCCACAGGTTGTAAAAGGGCCCCAGTTGCCCACCCCTGGTTTAAGGTTAAAGTTGTGGGGGTTTGGGGAAGAAACCACAGAGTCAGGTAGTGTATTCCAGGCGTTGACCACTCTGTTGCTGAAGTTTTATTTACTGCAATTGAGTTTGGAGCGGTTTACCTTGAGTTTGTATCTATTGTGTGCTCTTGTATTATTGTGGTTGAAGCTGAAGTAGTCATTGACAGGTAGGACATTGTAACTGATAATTTTGTGTACTTAGGTCAGACCAAAGGCAGCGTAGTTCAGCTTTAACTGCATCAAAGAAACTTCATTTTAAAACCAAATTATGACAAACAGCACTTTTTAAAAGGCAAAACAAGTTCCATCACATTACTACCATGCTCTCTCTGAAGTTCTTGGAGCCTGGAAAATAAATGTCCATCTGTACAAAATGGTGCTCACCCCTGAAATGAATGGGCAGATGTGATTGAAAGGCATCTTCCAAACACTTGGAGAATCGCAGCAATTCAGAGAAGATGGTATATATTGAGCTGGTTGGTATAAGATAACTTCTTCTACATTCCTAAAAAAATCTAAGCAAATTTCCTGGTCCATATGATTCTGCATTGTAGAAAAAGATGAGAGAAGAAAAAGGAGGAAGTATTTGACTATGGCTAGTTCAGGGAAAAGCAACCTGTGGCACTTCAGATCCTGCTAAATTATAAATCCCAGCTTCCTAAGGAAATACAATTAATGATTATAGCTGCTGAAGGTTGTATTCAACAATATCTGGCATACTTTCAGATTAAAAAAATTAGAAGATGTGTTTGATTAAAAAAAAGAGAGCAGCAGCAAGATGGATGGACTCACAATAGCAATGAGTGCACAGTTTGAAGATTTGAAGGACCAGGTAAGGACCAGATAATCATGGAGAAACTCTTATCTACTATATGCAGTTGCTAGGAGTTGAAAATAGCTTGATGGCACATAATCAATCATCCAATTGGTAGTTCTAAGAATGGTATAATGGCTGGAACTCATCTATCGTGATCCTGATTTCTTAATAATGATGTTCCCTCAGCCCTTTGCACAGAACTACTCTTGATATAACCAATCATTATCCAACGAACTCCCTGATGTATTTATTTACTCAATAGATATGGCTGTGCTTTTAGATATATCAGAACTACTTGGCTTTCTTCTCTATCAGGTAGCTGCCAAATATAACCAAATATAATCACACACTGACCTAAGGGATCTATGTTGAGGCCCATTTATTGTGGAGTAACACCAAGTGACTTTGTCTTATCCAAAAGAACAGATAATGCCTGCCAGATTAACTCAATATTTTTCAGCGGGTAAACAGTGGCACGAAATCAATATCAGGACAAAGATGGTATATGTATGACCTAGAGTTGTGAGGGCTTCTGTTGATGCCCAGCCATACTGATGACTGCCTTTGAGCCTATCTGAAGACACTTAAACCTGAGGATTCTGTGCCAGTCTGAAAGCAGGCCTCAACCTGTGTTGTCATGGCATCGGCAGGATTGGAGAGCTGAAAGGATTAATTCCTGGTTCTGCTGCAGTGTAATTAAAGCCTCAGTAAAACAATGAAGGAAAATATTGCTGCTCTGTTTTCTGGTTGGACTAAAATGTGTCTCAGTCTTGCTTCTGGGTCTTGAGCTTTAGGTCCTCTAAGGAAATAGTAGCTTCATCGCTTTGCATTTCATAATCATCATAAGTTTATTTGTCAAGCATATATAAGATAACAGGTAAAAGTATAAACATAATTTGAATACATGAAAAAAGTAAGTAAAAAGGAATATTAGGACAGGGACGGTAGGCATGCTGGTGCACTTATGCACGCCCCTTACAGACCTCTTAGGAATGGGGTGAGATCAACAGTAGACAGTTTAAGGTTAAAGGTTTGGGGGTTTGGGGAAGAAACTACAGAGTCAAGTAGTGCATTCCAGGCATTGGCCACTCTGTTACTGAAGTCATATTTTCTGCAATCGAGTTTGGAGCAGTTTACCTTGAGTTTGTATCTATTATTTGCTCATGTATTGTTGTGGTTGAAGCTGAAGTAGTTTCTGACAGGAAGGATATCTCCCCCTTAGATATCCCAGAAAAAAAAAAAGCACTGGTGAAACTGATACACAATTTTGGCAGGCTCTTCCATACAGCACTGCAGATATTCCCACCATGGTGGAGTTTCTGACAGACGTTACATACTAAGTTAATTAACTTCCAGCTCTAGGGGAAACACCGAAAAAATATTTTGCAGCATTTTATCTGAAGCTATGGGACAAGCACTAGTGAATACTCCAATGTTATTCTTATTTCTGGGGCTTCCATTCCCCTCTTGAAGTTGCTGTGGTATTATGCTGATAGTCCTGTTGCTTTCTGGTTGGTCTGAGGTAGCTTCCATTAAACTTATTTATTTATTTATTTTTACTCATTGAGAAATAGAATCTTGGGGAAATACATGGAAGAGTGTGGATCATCAGCTAGCTGCCATTTTTAGTGCTCACTTATCCATTTAGGGAAGGTTGGCTGGCTGAGAAACCAGGATACCTGTTGGGAACCACACAATACTGTTTAGAGTGAAAAGAGGGCTCTTGAAATTTGTCTAATGTTTCCCTCTAATCCAAATTTATGGGAAGAGTACTGAGTGGTATTATATTCCTACCAGGGACTATTTTTTAAAAAATATTAGAGATACACTAGTTCTCTATTCTGGAGGGAACAACTTTAGAGCCATTGTAAAATATAAATCTGAAACATGAGTTTCACAGAGAGTGCTAGTGATCAGATGACTACAAAGAAATACAATCCTTGCACCCCCCCAGCCTATCAGAACCTATCCTTCCATCCCCACCATCCAATGTCAATTGTCAATAATTATCCTTCCATCCCCTGCCATTGAACTGATGAAGCTTCTTAGAGGAAAAGCAAAATGTTTTCTTCTTTCTCAAGGGAAAAAAACAGGCCAGTTGCGCTTTTGGAAAAAAATATGCACCTTTGAGACAACTATGACCTGGAGGACAGAAAATCTCCACAGACATGAGTTGCACATTTATTTATTTCATGTGGCATAACAGCATACAGAATTAGTGCATAACATTTACAAAAACAACATATAAAATGTGTATCAAAATATAAAACACCAGTACAGTGAATTATTTTAAAAACATGCAATACGAATGAAGAATAAAATTATGAATTAAATTGTGTTTGAGCAGTTACTAGAGTGACTAAGCCTGGATATCTAGCTTGTTTAGCCATTGGACAGCCATGCTTTTGAGATGATGTAGATATTGCAGGGATCCAGGGAATCTTCTGAGGGGCATTCCGTCACAGTATGATGTAAAGTTTGTAGGACATTCCCACAGTCACAGTTACTATTATCCACCAGCCCCCATTTGTATTTCCAGTATTGGCACCTGCTATGGTTGGTTCAGATCTGGTTGAGCGCTGACTAGTTTTCCTTGGAAGATCAAAGCTGGAGGGGCATTGTACTGGATCAGACACTAAATTAAACAGATCTGGATTAGAAGTTGCCGATTCCTGTCTCAATTGCCCATGCTGTCTCAATATCAAAGTCTTCTCTGACTAATTGCTGTCCAAGTTTCCGCAGTGGGTTCTGAGATTTGAGTCTGAATATTTGATCGTGATGGTCCTTGTGTACAGGCAATAATAGAGTTTCACTGATTGTAGGATTTAAAGAAGTGTATAGAGTTTCCTCTGTAAGCTGAAAAAAATAATAAAAGAAGAGGAAAGTGCAATTACGCAGCTGGCAGAGATGAATTCGCATCCCTTAAAGCTAAGGCTTTCTGGCAATTCGTAATTGTGTCCTCTTGGAAAGAACTATCTAATGCAGATGGAACAGTTCTGCCAACTGTGAGAAAGATATCAGACTAATTTTGGTAATGACCAACTAATATATTGACCTTTGAACAGAATTGAGAAAGTATTCCTGACTAGTCACCATTATTTACTATACGATCCCTGCATGGATCTTCATCAAACTGAAGGCAGTCACTAAACTACTGCAAATTAATATTGATTGATGTCCACTCCAATTATTAATATGGGACACTCTGTTGACATTCCCTGAGGACTGGTGCAGTCTATTTATGTGCCCATCTTTTTAAAATACAGTCGGTGAGGTCTGATCCAGTCATTTTACTGAGTGTGATCAACAAACTAAAAAAGTGATAGTATAGAGGAATGCTGAATTTTTTCTCCCAGTCACATAATATACGAAGACATAGTGACAGATTTGATTTAACTTCATACTTGTGGCTGGTTGTAGCTGCCTGATAAATAATCTTTAAGGAATACCCAAGGAACCTTCTTTATAACACCTGTCTTGTACCTTCAAGTTGATCATTAGTAAACTATATATATATTTCTTTTTATGGGATGTTTTCAATAGATAAAATAAAGCACTTTCTGATATGTTCCTTTGGCCAAGAGGGGCCTGTAATTGTAGTTCTGAATGAAGAATCAGAATCATTTTTCCTCTAGAGTCTAATCAAAAAGTGTTTATCAATAGAAGAGAATATTTGTAGCTCAGGGTTGAACTGTGGGGTCCTTGGTGCCCTCTGAGCTTGATGGTTTTCTTGCAGATGTTTCATTACCAAACTAGGTAACATCATCAGTACTAGAAGGGGCTGGAGTTTGCTCTTATTTTCATATACTAGCGGCTTACCTTGTCAGTATTGATCAGTTGCTTCACAAACAGTGTTTTGATCGGTGCCGGGTCTCTATAGCCTCAGGCAGAGAAGAGCTATTCTGCACTCCTCCCTCAAATGTTCTTTAAAATACAGAGTTTCCCAGCATTCCTTTAGGAACCTCCAACATGCAAACTGTGGTTATTCATCCTAAAGTGAATCCTCTTTATCTGGAGCTTCAAAATTTGCTGTTTGCTGGGAAGGTGTGTAGCTAAAAGTCAGTCTACATTTGGTGTACATCTGACTTTGGGGATATTTCTTCATAAGCAAACAAAAATGTATTTTCTTGCAGTTCACACTCCTTGCTTCCTGGATCCGGATGTCACAAAGCAAAACCCACATTTTGTAGTTAAGCCCCGAGCCCCATTTTGGCTGTCAGAATGCTGCAGGAGGCAGAGTGCTGTCATGCCCCTCCCAGTCATGCCCCTCCTCCGGCTACACCCCTGGCCCTCCAAGGTCAAACACAACCCGATGCAACCCTCAATGAAATCGAGTTTGACACCCCTGCTCTAGAGCAGCAACCTTGGCAACTTTAAGATACCTGCACTTCAACTCTAGAATTCCCTAGCCAATTAAAGTTTAGACATCTTAAATTTGCCAAGGTTAAGAAACATTGCTGGGACATCTATATGCGGAATGTTGACCAATTAAAAGTGAACACCTTGACTCCTCAGTTCTTGCTGAAAAATGAATCAGTTATGCCTCTCCTAACAAAACTGAATTGAAGAGGGGAAGAGATGCCTGAAATTAACCTGGTGGTTAAAGAACATTGTTTTATTAACTGCAGATTATAGTCTACTATTTCATCACCAATAAGAAAACCAATATTATGAAGTGAATAAAATAATTGTGAAAGTTGAGGTCCTATTTTTATCCAAAATAACACCACTATATGTTTCTTAGAGGAAAGGCAATCAACAAATAGCTGTTTTCATTTCCACAATACATTTAATTACTAAATTCAGATAGTAGATTGAATTATGAAATCAAATGGGCTGATATTTACAAGCTAAACCACATGGAATGAAACAAACTAATCAAACTTACCAAGTTATGTGACTTCAACCTGTCCACTTCCATCTGATTTACTATACTATGTTGCGTAAATGATACCACTACATCTGTTTCTTTAGGAGTACTGCTTCTTTTTATTCATTCTGCACCCACAAACAGT